ATCGGAGGTGTGGATCCACCAAGCTCTTGGCTGCATCAGAGGTTCTGGCTCCATCTGAGGTTTGGATCCACAAAGCTCTTGGCTCCATCAGAGGTCTCGGCTCCACCAAGCTCTTGGCTCCATCAGAGGTCTTGGCTCCACCAAACCTTCCCTACCAGGAGCTGTGATGCAATTCCACCCCCCACCCCCCCTTGGGACCTTTGCTTCAACTGGTCCAGGGCTGCCTGCACTGGTACCAGAGCTGCTCAAACCAGTACCGGGGCTGCTTCAACTGGTCCAGGGATGCCCGAACCGGTACCAGAGCTGCTAAACCAGTACCGGGGCTGCTCAAACTGGTCCCAGGGATGATTTTCCCAGTACCAGGGAGGCTCGGCTAGGTGCCAGGGATGCCCAAACCAGTACTGGGGCTGCTCAAACTGGGCCCGGGGATGCCCAAACCAGTACCGGGGCTGCTCAAACTGGGCCCTGAGATGCCTGGCTGCTCAAACCAGTACCAGAGCTGCTCAAACTGGGCCCAGTGATGCTTTTCCCAGTACCGGAGATGCCCACCTCAGTCCCGGGGATGCTCAAACCAGTACCAGAGCTGCTCAAACCAGTCCCAGGGCTGCTCAAACTGGGCCCGGGGATGCCCAAACTGGGCCCGGGGATGATTTTCCCAGTATCAGGGATGCTCGGCTAAGTCTCAGGGATGTCCAAACCAGTACCAGGGATGCTCGAACCAGTACCAGAGCTGCTCAAACTGGGCCTGGGGATGCTCGAACCAGTACCAGAGCTGCTCAAACTGGGCCTGGGGATGCTCGAACCAGTACCAGAGCTGCTCAAACTGGGCCTGGGGATGCTGGAACCAGTACCGGGGATGCTCAAACTGGTCCTGGGAATGCCCAGCTCAGTCCTGGGGATGCTTGAACCAGTACCAGAGCTGCTCAAACCAGTATTGGGGCTGCTCAAACTGGTCCCAGGGATGCTCTTACCCGGTCCTGGAGATTCTTTTCCCAGTACTGGGGCGGCTC